TCTCCCCTTCCATCCCTCCCTCCCCTGGAGCACCCTCCTTCCATCCCTCCATCCCTCCTTCTATCCCCCCTCCATTCCTCCCTCCCCTGGAGCACCTGCCCTCTCTCCATCCCCTGGACCCCCCCTCTCTCTTCCCTGTAGTGCCCAACCGTCCTCCTTGCCAGGCCCTGGTCATTTGCTCCCCTTGGTCCAGCTGTACTGCACTGCATGGCACCCACAAACATGCTCGGTCATCATGGAGAGAGTGGGTGTCGGGAGAGCCCCCTGCATCCCACGTTCAGTGCATCCTCCATCCTGGGCTCACCTGTCCTGACTGCCCAAGAGTTGGCTTCACTTGAGCTGGGAGCAAAGTGGGTGCCACCTTCTGGGCATCACGGCACCACCCAGAGGCAGAGATGGGGGAGTCTTCAAGCTTCTCCTCCACTAGGAACACTTGGCACCTCTCATTGGCCAGACCTGCATGGCTGTGTGTGTAGCATCTTCACAGGGATGTCCACTGTCTCCATGATAATTCTTCAAATTCCCTCTGTTCCAGACGAACCTTTTCAGGGATACAAGAAATCATGAAGTGGGAGAAAGGTTGGTCCTGGTTATTCTGAAGACAGTTGGTGGAGAGCTTGGACTGGGCAGTGAGAATCTCAAGTGTGGCTGAAGTTCTGGGGGTTGTTGGGCGACACAGTAGGGGAGGGAGCTGTAAGGACAGAGGCCAACCCAGGCTTCTGTGAGGAGTCAGGCTGAGCTGCTTGAGCCGGGGAGTCCCGTTCATTTCTGGGAGTGGGCGGCCCCGGCATCTTCTTCCTGCCTTGTGTCCCTGAGCTGTCTAATGGACCAGATGCCGAATGCCAGCCCAGGCTCTGCCCAGGGTGAGGACAACTTCTATGGGACCAGGGCTCTTGGAGGCCCCCCCATCTCTTGCTGGCCCTCAGAGGCCAGGCTGGGGTGAAGGAGGACCTGGGTGGGGCGGATGGGACGTGGCTTGGCCTCTTTTCTGTGGACGGGGCAGGGCCAGTGGCTCATGAGGGGCCCGGGGCTCTTGGACGTAGACAGGCCTCTCTATCCCCACCTGGGCCTTGGGGCACCTCTTGTCCCTGGAACGTACCTCCTCGCCACCTCCTCACCAAGCCTGGCCTTGGGGGACCACAGCAGCTCTCTCTTCACACTTTCACCAGCTCCCTGAAAGGATACCCCAGCACCTGCTCCCTGCCAACCTTTCTCCCTGACCTGTTACCAGGAAAAATCAGGTGTGGATGAGGGGGCACCAGGAACCACGAGGTGTGCTTGTCCGTGTCACAGGGGAGACCTGGCATGGAGAGGTGGGCACGGTTGGGCTGGAGTCTGTCTGCAGGGGCCCCTCCCGCTCCCCCCTCGGGGGCAGGGCTCCTTCCCAGGTCAGACCTTCAGGTGAGACAGTGGCAGTCCAAGGAGAAGAGAGGAGGTGACCCAGGAGGAAACCCTGAGATGAAATAACAGACCCAGTGACTGGGCAGAGCTGAGGCTGGAGTTGCTGGGGGGGTACCTAGGGGCGCCTCTGCTTACCTGGCGAGGCTGCCCCCATGGCCTGTGGCTGTGTCATCACCTTCGCCCACAGGTAAGAGGGATGACCCGGCAAGCCCCCAGATCCCAGCTCTGCCCCCCACCCCCACTGGAGTTTGCACCCCATTTCAGCATCCTGTGTCCGCTGAATTGGGGGACCTGGGAAGTGAGGCGGCAGCGCTGTCAGCGCAGACAGATTTTCCGCAGAGCCACCCCCACCCGCTGCTCAGTCCTGCAGGACGGTCTCCCAGCGCATTTGGTTTCCCTGTCTTGCCGCAGGCCTGGGGGTGGGGCGCGCCGGCTGCCCTGCTCGCACGCGAGGCCCTGGCTGGGGTCCAGGCGGCTGTCACTGTGGCTGAGGCCCCATCGCGTGACAGGAGCCCCGCCGGGCGTGCCCGCCGGAATGCGGCTGCGGAGGAGGGAAGTGGGGGTATGGGGGCACGCGATGCTGGGGGGCCGGTGTCCGGGTGCAGGGACCTGCGGGGAAGGGGAGAGAAGTTAGAAACAGGGGTGCCCGCGGTGGGGCACGATGCTGGGGGGCCAGTGTCCGGGTGCAGAGACTTGCGAGGGAGGGGAGAGAAGTTAGAAAGGGGGGTGCCCACGAGGGGGCACGATGCTGGGGGGCCAGTGTCCAGGTGCAGGGACGTGCGGGGGGGCACGATGCTTTGGGGCCGATGTCCGGGTGCAGAGACTGCGGGGGAGGGGAGAGAAGTGAGGGAGGGGTGTCCCCCACTTGTGCCTCCAGTGAGTGTGGACGGGGCGTGCCTAGTGACCCCCACCCTCCCGCACTAGCGCTGCCCCTGCATGGGCCGAGGTCCCTGACTCTGGGAGCGAACTGTGCGCATCGCAGGGGTGGGTCAGCGTCCACGGTGACGACACAGCCCGGGGATCCCCCCACCCCAGCCTCACAGGTGTCGGCTTAGCATCCCCCACCCACGGGGTCTGCAGGGGGAGAGGACAGGAAGGCGGGGACAGTCCAGCCCCAAACCTCCCCTTCCCCTCGCTGGGGGCGGGGAGCCGGCTGAGTTGGGGTGGGGATGGGCGACCCTGCAATGGAGTTTGCTGTGCCGGAGGCCTTGGTGGTCTGGGTTGGTGGGCAGGCCACCCCAGGTGCACCGAGATGGGGGACCTGCCCCTGGCCCCCAGCACGCTTCGTGGCCTTCATTGAGCCCTAAATCCGCCCCAGGCGCTGCTTGGGCTCCGCCCTCTCCCACCTGATGGCGGCAGGGCTGGACCGTTGGGTGGGCAGGAAGCTGGCCTGGCCCTTGTGATGCCGCTGTGGGGCTGAGGGGTGGACACTGGCTCTGCAGAGGCTGGCAGGTCTGCGATTTTCCTCCTGTGTCTCAGTCTACGAGAACACGGGTTCCTGTGTGACCCTCTCTCAGAGCTCCCCTCAGCCGTCAGGACGTTCTGAGACCAGAAGGTTCCTCGGGGCTGGGCGCCCACAGCTTCTCCTGGGTCTGTTTGCGGCTCCTGCGAGGGGGAAGAAGGAGTGGCCTGAGCTTGATGCACTGGAGCTTCCCCCTCTCTGAATATAGCAGAGTGCTGGCGAAAGGGATTAAAAATAAACCTCTGAGTGTCCCACTTGTGACGTCTCAAAGCTGTTTCACTGCCTTGAAAACTAGTGATGGGTGAGGGTTTCCTTAGGAGGGGTGGCCTCTGCACCTCTCCCGGGACCCCAGAAGTGGCTGCTCATGCTTCCCAGAATACACCGGGTTTCCGGCCCAGGAAAGGGGTTCATTTCTTGTTATACTTACTGCTGTGAACAGAGGTCTAGTGCTTATTGGCTGCAGGAGAAGAGGGTTGTGGAGCAAGGGCTTCTGAGAGAGGGAGGGATGGAGAGGCCAGCTGGAGAGCAAAGGCCACAGCAGTTCCACCACGTGGTCACCGTCTGTGGGCTCTCCAAGGGCCACCTGCTGCATCCAGCCCTTGGCCCCCATGGGCACTTTGTCAGCGCGCCTGCACCTGGCCCCAGAGGACTTAAATGAGGGGGCCCTGTGCGGTCCCTGCCTGGCAGGGGACGCCTGCTTGTCCAGCAGTTCGGCCTGGTGCGGGTGAGGGTCAGGGTCTCTGCCTGACGTGGTCCTGGCCCCAGGAGGAGCAGGTCCAGCCTGACGGGAGGAGGGTCAGACTGTCTCACCTGCAGCGCACGTCAGGGGCCTGCTGTCCTGGGGGCCAGGGGACTGTGTTCTGACATGTGCCCTGTGGGGCAGGTGCTGCCCGGCTCACTCGCGTGGCCGAGGGCACAGTCGGTGTGTGGCCGACCTCAGGTCTGGGCAGCTCTGCGGGGAAGTGGGGGCGAAGCTCCCCACAATCAGAAGCAGACTACCTGGTGAGAACCTGGAGGAAGGGTTCGGTACGGCTGCTGGGTTCCAGAGAACGTCCGAGTTTGTGTCTTCTCCCAGACCACAGCAAGTGCAAGTGCCCCACCGAGCGATGGCCCTTTGACCCCAGTTACCCTGAGGTCACCTGTAGCTTCAGTTCTCGGATCCCAGAAATGAGGGGAAGCTGCGCAGGGCTCCCCCCACCCCGCCCTCCACCAAGCGAGGCCCTGAAAGCCCGTTTTCCCCCATCCTCTCAGCAGCCCCCGGGGGTCCTCCCAGGATTCCCGGGTGCCGAGGAGGATGCTGCACGTGGAGTTGGGGGTCCTGCGACCAGCGCCAGCGAGCAGGGATGTGAACGATGTCTGTCTGTCTGACCTGCACGTCTGTCTATCTGAGCTCTTCACCCCAAAGAGGAGCTGAGGCCAGACTGGGGGGTGGGGATGGGAGAGGCACCAGGAAACCGCCTTCTTCAGGGGCCACCCGTCAAAGGGAAGGTGGCCACGCGAGCAGGCCTTCCCTTTCCGCCGAGCACTCAGGGCAGTCATGGGCGCCCTTGGGGTGTGGGATGCTCTGCAGCAGGAAGAGGGGAGCTGAGGGGTGGGCTCTGGGAGAGAGAGACAGCCATGACGAGGGCATGCGGGACTCCCAAGGGCAGTCAGACTTAGCCCTACGGCGCTCTGTTTGGAGACCCACCTGCACTTGGGTCTCAGAAGAGGAGCTGTGGGGACCCCTAGGGGTTCCCCGAGGCCTGGCAGGTTCTGAGGGGTTTGCGGAGGGTGCAGAGAGCAGCTTCGGGAGCCAAGTGGGCTCCTCCTGCCCCACTCGCCCTGGGAGGCCGAGCTGCCCCAGTGCGTCCGCCAGGGTGGTGAGGAGCCCATAGGTCAGCGTGGAACTCGGCTTTGCCCACAGAGGGTGGCAGCCAGGAACCATGGGGTGAAAGTTGGGGACACAGGGAAGTGTGACCAGGCCTGGGAAGGGTGCTGACATGCCTTGTTCTCTGACAGCCCTGCAGGAGAAGTGCCCGCGGCAGTCAGCGGCCAGTGCCCCCGCACCAGGAGACAGCGGTCTGCGCGGAGGGTCCGCAGTGCTGGAGGGAAGGCTGCTGCTGGAGGTGAGCCCCCATTCGCCCTGCGAGCAGCCAGTGTGGGGTGTGCAGACCCCACCCCAGGGCCCTTAGGTTGTGACCATTTACCATGACCCAGAAGTTCAGGCTAAGAAGCATTGGAGGATGGAGCCAGAGCCGCCCTGGTTGGGGGCAGCAGGGGCTCCGGGTGAGGTCAGCAGGTCGGGACAGAGAGAGCCAGCCAATGACCTTGAGGCCCACGGGCTTCAGATCTGAAAGTCGTTTTTCATTCTGCATTTTCTGGTTTTGCTTGTCAGTGGGAGAACCTAGTAAAAAATTAAGCAAGGTTTTTTTTCCTCAAATTAAGGATAGAAAATTGTGCATTGAGCTTCCCGGGGTCTGGCGGGCTTTCTGGCTCATGGCTTTATTGATGTTACATGCTGGACGTCACCCGCCCACATTGGCTTTTGCACCTGAGACAAACTGCCACCCCCAGTGACTCTGAACTGCTTCCCTTGATCTCTCACGTGGGCCTGTTACATGGGGACGGGGGACAGCCCTGGTCAGTTTCTTAAGCAGGATAAGATGGTGAGGTGGAACTTTCTGGTTGATCAAGTTGCTGGTCCACAGAGTGAGGGCGTCGCTGCCTCCACCAGGGGCCAAGACGCAGGCCGTCAGTCCACAAGAGGGCGGGGGCCAGAGGGAGGGAAGCCCGTAGCAGCCACCCGGTAACCAGCAGCCACGGTGCCCCTAAAGCTGTCCTTCCCCTGGCCGTCCCGGGAGAGGCTGGGCCCCATGTCCTTGCCCCCCACGTTCGGGCCATCTGTTAGGTGGACACTTCTGAGGGCAGAAATGGTGGCGTGTTGGCGCCCTCTGTGCTGGGTGATGTTCAGCCACCGCCTGCTGAGTGCCGGCAGCAGCCCCTGTAGGCGATTCCTCTGCACCCCAACCCACCTCACGGCAGCCTGAAGACCTGTCAGAGGCAGATCCTGAAGGGAATCCCCAGGTCCTTGCTGCAGCTGGCCCGTCCACCCACCGTGGCCAGCCCTCTGCAGAGGCCCTTCCCTGCCTTTGCGCCGATTACCTCACCGTCTCCCCTGCACAGCCCCCTTGCACGCCCACACCCCCTCTGGAGGGGCTGCCCCTCCCGCTTCAGTCCAGGGTCCTACCTCTAAGCTCATCTTGGCTGCTTCCCTGGTGCGTCTGCTCAGAGTCTTGGATGTTCCGCTGTTTAACCGGCGTGGCCCTCTGATCATCTCAGGCCTTGAAATCTGTCCCTGTCTGTGTCTTCACTCTCCATGCAGCCAACACTGGCTCTTACCGTGAAGAGGAGAACGGGGGACTGCTGAGCCTGTCAGAGAGTGTGGGCCCTCTCCCTTTCTTCACTTTCAACTTTTATTAGAGATTTTGAACCTTACAAAGAAGAGAGGATGGAGTAATGACCTCCAGGGCCTAGTGGCCTGGCCTCGCGGGGGTGGCTTTGGCCAACTTGTTCCTCCTTGTGTCCCCCTCCACTTTTCCCAGGCCTTCCCTCCCCAGACCCCCCCGCCCCCAGGACCCTGTCCTGCCTCCATCTTCTCAGGTCCCCCTCCCCCCGTGACTTCTTGGTGCCCTGATGTCCCCTCGGTTCACACTGCATCTTCTCATCATCTGTGCACTTTGTCCAGCCCTCTGAGCCCCCGTTTCCAGCACCCAGGCAGGTGGCTGAGCACAGTGGGGCCCCATAAGGATGACAGACGGACAGATTGACAGACAGGTGGAAAGCATCGAGACTGATTTGAGGGGAGTGGGAGGCATTTGCAGCATAGGATCTGGGGGTGCTGGTGCTAAACGGAGTTGGGTGGTACTGTGTTCCCACCTGCCCCCATGGATCCGCATGACCCTGCCTGACCCCCATGACCCCCGATGGTCCCCACAGAGACCCCACAACCCCTCATGACCCTGCACAGCCCCCTCATGGCCCCCACGAACCCCCATGGTCCCTATGATGCCCACAACCCCCCACGACCCCACAGGGTCGCTATGACCCCCACATGACCCCTATGACCCCCATAGCCCCCAAGGCCTCTGCCCTTGCTGAGGGGTTTGATGTGCTCTCATGAGGATCAATGAGCTTATGAATCATTTCCTTTTTTAAAAAATAACAATATGTGAGGAAGTACATTCTTGTACTCGCCAGGTTTGAGTTTAATTTCTGTGGAAACCCTCAGCATGACGGACGTTGGGGGCTCCCGTCTCAGACTCTCAGAGCAGGTACAGGTGCCACGTCCCTCCGTCTGGAGGGGGCGTGGACATCACCACACTCTGGGACACACTGGTGCTTTGAGCAGAGGCCAGATTCCACACTTCGTCATTTATCAGGTCTTTAGGAAGCAAGTTCTTATATATTCTTTTTCCTTTAAAATTGCTTTTTTCCGTCAGTGCTTGTAAAACTGGAGCTGGAAAACGTGTGCTGGTTTGAAGTGTATTCTCGGCAAAAGATAACTGGTGTTGCTCTGTTCTTATTCATGTTCAGAATTAAGATGACAACATCTTAATCATAAAATCCTAGTCGTAAAAGCTTTCTTAAACCTTGTTCCGAGCTGTAAATACGGAAGCATGTGCACAGGGCGCCCGATCCATCTCCATTTAGAGCTCAGGGGCTGTTTCACCGTGTCCTGCCCCTGCCCCTCTGGGTGTCCCCCCCGGAGATGGGTGTTGCAGAGTTGCGCACCTCGGAGGCTGCCCTGCCCTGCATGGGGGCGCCCTCCCGGGCGTTTCTGCTCATGGACCAGGTCTTCCCTGGGGGCCTCAGGACGAGGGTGGCAGTCCTGGCTGAGGCTGAAGCCCAGGAGATGACCAGACCTGACTCCCGGGGCCTGGGAAGCAGGGGAGGGCGGTGCCCAGCCAGGTCATTGGCCCTGGTTTCCGCGTCCTGCTGCCCAGCGTGGGAATGTTTTTGGAGCTACCCTCCGGTGGGACTTTGTGAGGAAGAGGTCCCAAGGCTGGGGGGTCGGGTCTGCTGCCCGTCTGCTCTGGGCACTGTGGGCTGTCCTGGTGCCCACCTGCCCGCCAGGCTCCCCCGCCAGACCGTGTGAAGCCCCCACCCCCTGACTCCGTCCAGCAGTTCCTGAAGCCTCATTCGCTGCTTCTTGTTTAACGTTCTCTGTGGCCTACAGGAAGTTTCTGGAAGGTTCCTTTGACTAGAATCAGGGTGGGTTATATGATAAGGGTTCTTCACAGCATTTGCAGTGTGGCAATTCTCAACCTTTGGGGTTAGAGACTATTTTTGAAGTTTAAAAATATTCCCAAACAGCAAAATAAGCAAATCAAACAATGGTAACAAGAAAATCCCAGCTTTCGCTTCCAATCTTCAGTCTCTTGAAGATACACTGGGAAAAAGGAGAGGTTTATGGCACAGCATCATAAATGCATAAAACATTTAGAGCTGCACAGACTTTACAGTGCCTGTGGTCTAATGTCTGTTATCTTAAGATGAAGAAACCGAGATCTGGAGCTGTTAGGGCTGGTCCAGGGGGCACGTCGGGGGCTGATCCAGGGCCCGTGGGCTTCAGATCTGAAAGTCTGAATATAACAGAGTGCAGCACGAAAGGGATTAAAAATGAACCCCTGAACATCCCACTTGTGACCGTCAGAGCTGGTCCAGGGTGTCTGTCCCGGGCAGGGGCTGGTCCAGGGTGCCCACTGGGGGCTGGTCCAGGGTGTCTGTCCCAGGCAGGGGCTGGTCCAGGGTGCCCACTGGGGCTGATCCAGGGTGCCCACTGGGGCTGATCCAGGGGGCCTACTGGGGGCTGGTCCAGGGGGCCCACTGGGGGCTGGTCCAGGGTGCTTATCCCAGGCAGGGGCTGGTCTAGGGGGCCCATTGGGGCTGGTCCGGGGGCCCGTCAGGGCCAGTCCAGGGTGCCCGTTGGGGCTTCAGTGGGACTGGCATCCGCGTTCAGTGGCTGCAGGCCCTTGGCTCCCCAGAAGCCAGGGCAGATGATCGAGCTGCCCCCCAGTGCGCTCCTCGGCACAGGCACTAGGAACAGGGGTGACAGAGGAGGCATGGGGGGTGGGAGACTGGGGGAGAAGAGAGAAACAACCGTCTGGAGAAGAAACCAGCAGAGGGATGAGGCAGGACAGAATGGAAGGTTCTGGAAGCACACACATCAGATGGACAGGGAGAGCAGCACCCTGGGCTTTGTTTCTGCCTTTGAGGTGGGCTGCAAGATGTGGTGGTTAGTGCAGACACGGCAGCGTGCTCGCAGGGGCCTATTGGGGACCAGAAGGACACCCCTGACCACTTGACCCCGGCTGGAGTTCAGGTGTACTGTGGCTGCACCATACTTTTTCTAGCACTTATTTTTAAATTTGTACATGCTAAAACTCGTTTTTTGGTGGTGTGGTGTGACCACTGCTGTAATCAAGATACAGAACAATCCCCCCCACCGCCCGATTTTCCTTGTGGTGCCCATTTGCAGTCAGACCCGGCCCCCTCCCCCAGCGCCCCCCCCCCTCCCCGCCCCGCCACCGCGGCCATGTCCTCCGTCTGTCCTCAGAATGCCCCGTGAGCAGACTCCCGCAGCATGTAGCCTTTGGGGTCTGGCTGCTGCCGCTCAGTTTCTGGCGTTCTGTAGTACAGATGTGCCTCAGTGTGCTTGCCCGGCTAACCACCGAGGGACGTTTAGGGTGTTTCCAGGATTTGGTGTTTATGAATAAAGCTGCGATAATCAGTCACATGCAGGTTTTTCTCTGAATATAGATTTCGTTTTATTTGGGTGAGACCTACGTGTGTGATTGCTGGTGCTGAGTGTGTTCTTGACTTTATAAGAAGCTGTCACACTGTTTTCCAGAGTGGCTGTGCCGTGTCACCTCCCCACCAGCAGGAACAGGGTTCCAGTTTCTCCGAATCCTTGGTATTGTGTGGCGTGACCTTTGTTCAAAGCCACTTTAATCGGTGTACATGGAACCTCCTTCAATTTGCATTTCCATTGTGACTAATAGTGCTGAGCTCTGTCCAGGCGTCTGTCTGCCATCCACAGGTCCTCCTTGTAAACTTCACTCATATA